AGGATGGGCCACATATGCATTCAGAAAAAGAAAAAAGCTGTGATAAAAATGTAGCAAAAGAGTCCTATCCTGACAAAGCACTTGATAGTATGTATGGAAACAGTGCACTTAGTCTATAATACTACTAACTGGGAATTGGTTTACCAGTTGGAAATGCTTTTTACAGTAATTGTGTTATTCATGATAGAATATTTTTACGAGAATCCTTCAGCACCACCCGACCAACTGCGTGTGTCAAGCAAGCAAATCGGAAAACTAACCGCAACAGGAGCCCATAATTCTAAGTATTTCTGCTGTGCGCAAATTAAGCATATGGAATGTTAGATTGTGCAAATTTAGCTCATTCAATATTAGAAAAAAAGAGCATCTGTTGTGAAAATTAAATTCTATACAAAGGCACATTCAAAGATTAATATTCAAGAACTGAGGCAATTTAAAAGATATAAACATTTATGTCATTGTTCTCGAACAATATTTTTGTGATCGAGCGCCAAACCCACAGCTGAACTGCGCAAGGAACTAATTTTGCTTTTGCGAAATTCTCAATATGCGTAATGCAACCGGGTAATGAGGCGTCATGTTTTGCCCTGTAACCGGATGAATACTTTCCTGCACAAAACTGCTGCGTTCAGACCGCCAGATTTCCAGAGTCGACGTCAACAGTGAAAGGTACGTTTTGTCCTCCAAATTCCGTCCGACCGACGGACATTTTCAAAATAAAAATCATTCTGTACTTAAAAATTTACCCTTTCCCAATTACGCAAGGTATGAAGGCGCTGTCTTTTTCTTGGAAAGTTTTGTGCATGGGTACCAAATGTAAAGTTGTCCCAACTATGAATTTTAGCTTCTTGACATTTTACTGAAGGCTACTACACTTTGTAAGAAATTAGTGTTGGATTTGAGTCAAATTACAAGTTTGAGAGATATTGGAGATCTTCAGGCTGAAGTCATTTGAATCGTAAACGAGTATCATTCAAGTGGAAGCCCGGAAATGGAAGTGACAGCTATTTACAAGTACGATTTAAAGAGATTTAGAAATTGCCCCATTCCTTCCTCTTATTATGTCTATAAATGTTCCCGAGGATTCCAAGATGCCATTCCATATTAATATTTATAGCCAAATTCTGAGATGTCAAACTACGTGGGATGTATCAGTGCTCCTCTTTACCAATATCTACAGATTTTGTTTCCTTTTCTTATGACGACAGCTAGGTGGACCGTTTGAAGTCAACGAAGTGATATATCCACGATGGGTCTATTTCAATGGCTTGGAGATATTTTAAGCTCAGCATGTCGCAGGAAACCTGTGCGGCGGGAAATGTGTTCGACACCTCTGGATCGATGCCTGGGTGCAGTTGACTTAACAATGATCGGCGTTGGAACTATGGTCGGCTCCGGCGTTTTTCTTCTACCGGGACAGATTGCAGGAGTGGTAGCAGGCCCTATTTCTCTTCTGGTTTTCTTCGTTTCTGGACTAGTTGCTTTGTTGGCTGGGCTTTGCTGCGCAGAGTGCGCTTTGCAGATTCCTGAAACAGGCGCGTCTTATGCATTTGTGTACCCAACACTTGGAGAAATGGTCGCTTTCTTAATTGGTTGGAGTAGTGTGGCAGCGCGAATTCTGGGTCTGGCTTTAATAGCACAAGTCTGGAGTGGCTATTTAGACAAGTCCATTGGAGGCTACATACATAATGCCACTATCGAGTTTGTTCTTGGGGGTAAGGCGTGGGATGCCCCTCTTCTTGGCAGCTATCCCGATTTTGTCGCTGGGTTAGTGATTCTCGCGTGTAGTGCCATTATATCATTCGGCACGAGTATATTCTCCAAGGTTAACAACTTGTTCACAATGTCCACTGTCTCAACTCTGATTTTGGTTTTTGTTGTGGCAATGACTCACGCAGATTTCTCTCACTTCGTAGAGCATGGTTTTGTTCCTCAGGGGGTTGGACTTGATGAGGTTGTAACGGGTTTAATAGCCGCTTATTTAGGCTATGCTGGCTTTGAAACCATTGCACTGAGCGCTGAGGAAGTGAAGGATCAAACGAAGGATCTCTTGATGGGGCTGTTGGCTGCATTTGCTATTAGCATGCTGGTATATTTGGCTGGATCCCTCTCAATCACTGTATTAACGGAATACAGCAACATCGATCTCAAAACTCCCTTTGAAGCGATGTTTGACGAACTTGATGGTTTACGTTGGATTAAGTACATTGTAGCCACGGGCGCGTTATGCAGCATAACTGGTGGAGCTCTAAACCTATCTTATGGTTTAACCCGCTTCATTTATCCAATGTCAAGAGACGGCCTTCTGCCCGCCATGCTTTCCAAGACCCACGAGAAGACCAAGACGCCCTTGGTAGCTACCTTTCTTGGGGCGTTTCTTTCCATCGTTTTTGGTGTGCTTGTTGATATCAGGATTTTAGTGCAAGTGCTGTCTATGTTTTATACCCTGGAGACCGTCGGTGTTATACTTGCGGTCGTCATTCTGCGTTACAAACCCACGATACAAAGTGGATACATGGAAGTGGGTGGCAGAGATGAAGGCTATGCCACTGAAAGTTCCTGTGTACTACAAGTAAATCGACACCAGAATAGCCTAGAGCTGGACGGTTCGCCAGAGCAACTGCAGGAAATCCATGCTGGTGATGTCAACGCTCCCAGAGATCCCTCAACACGTCCATCTTTGGCGAGGAAGGCCTCAACCGACTTCATTCAGTGGATCAGAGAGCATCCAACCAGATCTGTGATCCTGTCTCTGTTCTTGCATATCGCTTTTGAGTTCCTTTTTGTAGGATTGCTAACCTTCAATCTGGAGGACCTCTTGGGACCCCGTGACCCTTCTTTAATATTTGGGATACTCATCAGTGGTTCCCTGTCTCTCATCGCATGCTGCCCCCTGTTGCTTCTACCTCAATACAAAGAAAATCTCATATTCAAGGTAAGATAATCCAAGGGCCGATTCAGAACCTATTTATCGGGGTAGGGGACTTTTGTTCAGGAGATCAAATTTTTGGAATTTTCTTACGTATAGCCTTTCATTTATTGTTTAAACAGTTTTGGAAGGAAGGGAAATAAATTAGTTTCCCCAAATCTCAATAAGAGTTTCAAAATCTGAGAGAACTTGCCCTCCTTTTTTTGGGGGGGGGGGTTGTCCCCTTGCCCTTCCCCAGATCAGTCCTTGGGGTAATCTTAATATTTAAGCCTTTAGTTAATATATCTTACACTGTGAAATCATTCGCTGTTTAAAAACTGATACCATAACGTTTCTGTTGTTACCGACCGTTTTTAGAGGGAAATGAAGCGTGGTAGAGCTGTGTAAAATACATAATTTTTATGTTTGAAACCAGCTGTAGGCCTAGGAATGATAATGGACCCCATCGAAAGGTCAAGCGTTTAAAATGAGTCAGAAATTCCAGTTTCCAACAATGCTGTTAATCACTTCTACCTTTTGTTTTGTGGAATACCACTCTATAACAACGTGTGTGTGTCCTGTGCGCACTTGCAAATTGGCGCGTGATACGTGATGTGCAGGCTAGAGTTCAGAAAATTGATGAGTCAAATTTTTAAATGAAACCACGAAAGTGTTTAAATCAGTTGGTACTTAATCATCTGTTCAATACTGGATACGTGACGGGTTTGCGAGTACACACGCAATAGGAACCCGGGAAACTCGAGGTATTTATGTGTAACTTCAATAAGTGGGAGCATTGCTCAAGTTTATCCCTCACCACTGCAGTTTTCTTGAAGGGGTTGCGTAAAATCACATAAACTAAACTCAACACTGTGACGCGACAGAGGGCACTAGGCAAAGGTGCTGAAAAGAACAACTGAGGATTTTCAGTCGAGTGATTTTTGACAGTCCGCATTCAACTTTTATTGTATTTATTTAAATTACCCGTATTTATTTAAAAATCTTTAGACAGGATACACAATAAGCTCCAAGGCTATTGTACATCATGGTCCTGTGCAGGCGCTTTCTACATATACGTTTTTTTGGTGCGTTGTCTACACGATGCGTTCATGAATTTCACTTTCACGGACCAAAAAGATGACTACATAAACATAACACGTGTTTGTTGCGTTCAAAGTCACCCCAGGAGCGATTTTGACAGATACGCAACGCTTAGCGCAAGTGTTGACAAGCACACGGAAAGGCACCTTACCAAAGATGTGCGCGGAAACACTCCACACTGCAAAGTTTATCTCTGAAGAAGCCTCGTGACCGACGAGATGAACTGCATTCCGACTACTTCAGACAGATTCTTGTAGAGTAGAACGATTTCCGAGTCTTAGTGCGGAATCAGATCTGGCGGATCAATCGTAATTGTTTTCTCTTTGACGCGCAGCCAGCCCCAGAAAAAATACAGAAAGAAGCCTTTCATTTGGTCCGTAGGAATTGACATTTCAAGATTCCAGAGAAAATAATTGGCTGTCCCTATCCTCCTGAAGTTAATCAAGACCTTCCAAGGAATATCTACGGGAAAAGGAACCGTTGATCTCTTTGGTGAACTCTCTGAGTGGGGTGTGTGTTGTTTCTGTTCTCCATCTTCTTCTCTTTTCCGACCCATGTTTGGGAACCTGTAACTAAGGATTGTTCTTGCGCTCTGACGGATGTTTAGTCACTTTCACCCGACTAAGAGCAAAACCCAAGACTAGGAACTCACCATAAGGATCCTCCTTTATGGTGATGATGCTGTTCCCCACTTAGCAGCGGTATCTTACTCAGCAGCTAGACTCAAAAGTCTGGTGGATAGGTTGCCATTGATTTAAGGACCATGGACTCCCAATAATCATTAAGAAAACTTCCATCATGGTGACCAACTCAACAATCCTCAACCATCTATTATAAAACCATGCCTTTAAGGCAGTTGACGAATTTGAATACCTGCATGGATTGACCACTAATGGCACCGTATCTGTAGACGAGGAAAAATCAATACAATTGGGGAAGCGTCAACAACTAAGCCAGAGACTGTGGGGAAACTAACATGCTTAGCAGCAAAAAACGTGGGGTTTACCAAGGCTGTGCTCGTACCCCTGTTTGTCAGTGAGACCTTGAAAACCCAAACACGAAACACGAACGACAGCAGCTTATCAATACTTACCATCTTAACTGTCCTCGTTGTTTGCTTGGAATCTCATGACCAGCAAAAACAAATCACACATAAGGAGGCTCTATTTGGCACACCCACCATACATGCTATTCTCTGCCAGAGACATCTTCTATTGCTTGGCCATAATTTTGAGTCGAATTGGCGGCTTCTCCATTCCTAAGGCTCTCCTATATTGTGAACTTGCTACCGGAACTAGATGCATCAGTTTGCCTAATCCGCATTTCAGGTTTAATCTCCCCTGCACCCTTGGAATCGATAGCAAGCAAAAGTCCTCAATGACGCAGTCCTTTCAATGAAGGCATTCTTCAATGCGAGATAAAAATCAATCCAAAAAAGGAGATCTAGAAGTAGGAACAGCACGTATATAAGACAGCCAAACACTTTTGTCTGAGTACAACATAGATTGCCACTCAAATATTTGGTCTTGTCAGTCACTGCTGAGGTGTTATAAACAACATTATCAGATGACTTCACCAAAATGTGTTACAGTAACCATAGAGGGAGGACACAGACGAAGTTGCAACTCTGGTACTTCAAAGTGTCCAATGATCGTCACCACCGAGTCAGACTTTCCAAAAATGTCTGATTACTGCCAGTATCTTAGCCTTACAAGCGGTGCCAGTAATATCCTAGAAATACTTCCAGTGTTTCGCTTGCAATTCAATACAAATTATTGCTGAAACCGGAAAATAAAGAGAGAAGAATGCCCGATATTAGGCCTACACCTACTTTCGTCATCGTGAATGAACTTTTAAAATTTTGATGCACTGCTCTTTTATCCATGTAAAGTTTGTAATTTTATTATCCGTCCTCAGATACATCAGTTTTCAAAGACTTGGTATGAAGTTGTCTAAGACTGGCAAACAAAATGTTGATTACTACTGTAAAGCTAAGTTCATAAGGACCAGATGTGCTATTTCAGAACAGGGAGTGATCATAAAATTTCGTACAATACCATTTTGTACAAATGCCATGATTGAAAATGATTCAAATAAACACAAAATCTTGTAAACAACTGGGCTATATATTCTAAAAATAACTCCAGAGGAAAGTGCTCATTTAAGGGAAATTACTACACATATACATTAAGGGCACACGGAGTAATGCAAACAACTGCGTAAACATTAAATTTCATGTGTTGTTTGTGGGATCAATCCAAGCACCAAGAAATGCGTAAATATGCAATTTCCCACAACTCAGAAAAAAAAAACAGTTTTAAGGATGCAGACTACCAGCTACAATTGCTGCTCTGGCTATGGACATACCAGGCATGCCAGAAAGCAGTAATTGGCCAGATGTTATAGCTCGGGCAGTTCAAACTCCTATGTCCTCTATGCTATTACACTGCTGCTACTTTACACATCTACAAATAGCTCACACTGGAGGGCGTTAAAAGCAACACCAACAACGTTGAAATAACACTCAAAATGTTAACACCTGTTAACAGTGATGGCATCCTCTGATAACACCGATTTAACATCCCGCTTTTTCAGTGTTTCTTTGGAGTATATCACAGTGTATATTACGCATACTTAACCTTATTTGGAGAATACTATGTCAGCCCTTAGCTTCAAAAGGTTGAACGCAGATTACCTTGCCAATTAATCTAACAAAATGAAGCATTCTGACAAGTTAGATGTTGGTTAACTACTGATCCTCGAATAAAAATATATGCCGAAATTTAAGCCCTAACACATTCACGCCAACCCTGCCTACAGTCTTCCCTCCCAACCACCACTGAACACACTTGACGCATAAGCACGTTTTCGAAAGAGTTCACACCCAGTTGTTCCGAGCGTACCACCTTGCCAGTAAAATATGTGAGGACCCACCGCAGTAGTGACTTGAATCTAGTTGCAGGATCGTGTTATACATAACTGTCAAGTTTATCGCGTGCCTTGGAATATTCGTAGCAACAATAAAGCAAACAGTATTGTAAAAAAAATTGTCTATACTTTTGTGAGTGCCATTTGACAAGGCTACGTTTTCGTTTAAAATGTCGATTGCACTCTGGATGCACGGATGGTCGAGGCACCAGCTCAATATCAGGCTACAACCCATCCACTGCCTACACAGTTTTTACGTGGAGTCTATGGCAAGCACTGTTGTTTATGAAAGTTTGCCATCAATATGTTTTGAAATGAAATTCATCAGACGCATGGTGCTATTAGGATTAAGATGAGTAGCGACATTAGGATGCTTTTATTCTCAGTTGAAAACAATAAACACCTTTTGAAAAAAAAGAGATTTATTTTGCAAGACACTCGGCTTTGTTTCTACTGTATTTTATTCTTTTATGACAGGTGCCCCTGATGCCATTGTTACCGCTAATTGGCTTGCTGTCTTGTGTCATACTTTTGCTACATTTCGATTTCCTGGCCTTCATTCAAGTCCTTATTTGGACATGCGTAGGTAAGTGTTACATGGCTGCCTGCCGAGGTGTTACGTAAATACAGTTTGTGATGGAATACGCTCTGATCAGAGTGATAAGCACCTCAGACAATTTGAAATTCCATTTACAGAGTGTGTAATGATAGTGTAGAAATGTTTACTAAAAGTTTACATATACTAAATTTAATGTCCAATTTTTTTTTATTTTGAAACTTCCCAATAATATCTAGAAATTGTCACGACCGTGGTTCTATGTAACTTCAATGTGCTTATCACCATCTGGCTTTTAATCTCCGAAATTCAATCTTCTTCAAAATGCAGTCTTTAAAAATTGACTTTCCATTTCTAAAAATCATTAGAACGAGCGCATATCGGTTAACCCTCCAACCCTCAAATTTTCCGAGAGCAACTTATACTTCTCAACCTGAACCTCCCTTTTTGAACGAAGAAGAAATACTTCTTATATATTGATATCGTTTCTCGGAAGCTGGCACAGGATTTTACTGATTTTAATGTAATTGCTGCTCAAACTTGTCAATTTGAATGCCATGAGCGTCTTTACTTTGAACCATATTTACTCCATTATGTTCTACAAACATGCAATTAAATTAAAGATCTATGGGTCAATGAAAACATTTCTACATGGTCTATGAAACCTACACATCGGTGACACACAGGCAACCTACCGGCAGCAGCTTGAGAAAAGGGAGAAGCAAATATGGGGCTTCTAAGCATTATCCTTTGCATTATGATGAGAAATGATTAAATAGTGGGCTTGTAGGTTTATTCACGTTTTTTTAAAAGTAATTTGACTTAGTTCAATCACGGAATAATCATAACAACTGACTAAATATTGGATGAAAAATATCTGTTAAATCTGTGTTTTTGCTTTTCAGGAATAGTTGTGTACTTCACTTACGGCATGAAGCACAGCGTCCAGGGTGCACGACAAGATGGCTATGAAACTAATTAGTGATTTGCAACAGTCTCTGACTTATGGTCCGTGAAGAACCCCGCCATATTCCTGTTTCAACTGGACATCTGGACTTTTTTCCCTTAGAAACTCACCGCGTCTTTATTTATTTATTGAAAATAGAGCCTATTGTAATACAAATCCATAAGTACCTATAACCATTTCTGTTAGTCGAGGTCGTCACGTGGCCGGTCGTAAACAAGATAGAGATAACACAGCTGGCTCATGGTGTGCTGCGCCACTTCATTCAGTACGCGTGCATCTGGCGCGGGCAATTTTTTTTTTGGGGGGGGGAATACGACCACTTGCGAAAGGAACATACCATCACATGCCTAGAGGGTTGTTTAAAAAAAGTAAAATTGATGAACACGATTCATTGCAAATTTGAAATTTTCAAAATTTGTAAGTGCTTGACTCAAAATTAAAATTTGTGCATACTAATGAATATGTACTGTAAATATGCACAGGAATCTTTGTTATGCTTGGGTCTCGTTAACTTTGCCACCTGAATGCTTTTCGAATTGCAAGTAAGAATTAGTGTTATTTCCACCTAGACATTTTTTCTGAGCTATTAAATTAAGTCAAGCTTGGATTTAGCTCGCGCACGATAATTCGTAGTTTTGTTGTTTTAGTGGGTTTTACGGAAAGAAATATACTGACAAATTGTGGATTGGTTACTTTGGCATGTTTGGGTCATTAGCGGAGGTCCTATCGCCTCCCGAGGTAACTGAGGTCACAGTTTAGGAGGTACATGTACCTCCATGTAAGCTGCCCCAATTCATTCTGCATGTTAACTTCCTTGTTGGCCTTCTCACAAGAAATGCAGTTTCATCTGCTTTTGAAAATACCACATACGTAACGTTTTGCACCATCCTATATTATGTATCCAAATCCAACCAGCAACTCCACCTACTGGAACTTAAGGTTCAAACCCGCTACGCTTCATTTGCAAATGAAAATTGGTCAACATCATTGTTGGCCTTCGTGGAAAATGCGTTGTGCTATCTCTTAAAACTTTCACTTTTGTTTGTTTCCCTAAGGCCTTCTCCGAACTTGATGGGGAGGGATTCGGAACAGTCTCACGAAGTGTTTTAAGTTATTTATAGCTCGATTTTAGGAGTGTTTCAGTAGTTGTTAAGGCTGACTGTACTTGTTGTGGCCCTTGGTGTAGGTTTTTAAAAATCTTTTTTGAACTTATTTGTTGATTCCCTTTTCATTCAACTTCAGACACGCATGGGTATATTGTAGCGTGATACTACGGGTCCTTGTCCTGGGAATTCCCGCACAACGCTAGAAAGGGGACACAGACACAGAATTTCCAACTCCAAATGAACAAAGCGCTTCTTCAGTTTATAAAAAGCCACAATTTTGCCATCCGGTGCCAAAAACCACACTAATTCCATCTGCAGTATAGCACAAAACAAGCATATGGCCCAAAATAACAAGGATACACTTTTCTCTGCCCTGGAAGCTGGCTATAACCCTTCCCAAGCGCGGCCTTAAAAAGACCCAACAACATCCATTGCACCATCTACCACAACAAAACACGGACCATTTGAACAAAAGAAGGTAGATACGAAGCGGCGTTAGAGACAAAAGAGTAGAATATGTTTTGTAGAAACGAAGTGCATTCTTTTAAAATCGAATGTCGTTTTGAATCTATTGTTAGAAAACAGCGGGGTTTTTAAAGAAATTTCTAATGCATTTCCGTACACCGAATGAAATCTTACGGACCTAATATCTTTTTTGGCTCAAATGATATTTTGCAAAATGCTTTCAAGATTAGAATGACATTTAAAAGGTCTGTTATTTTCCAAGATTGGAATGGAATTTCACCGATCTGTCATGTCTGTATGGTTGGAAACTGACATGTTCTCAAGAATGGAATGCATTTTTCCCTGACATAAGAAGACGCAAGTTTTGATTTGCATATTTAATCCGAAATCACACTTCATTCGAATTAAAAAAGCGTTGGATCTTTTTCAAGGGGTTCGGGGCCTACCCGAAGACCAAAGCCTTTTTTACGATTTGGCTGTGTTTTGCAAGCACATTTGTTGTCAAATTCTAGACTAGTTCCCGCCGGGATTTGGTGCGTTCCACTCAATTGGATAAATTTTAACGCGTAAGCTAACTAGTATTTTGTGATACCACGGGCTATTTACAACAAGGGGTGCCATATTAAAATAGTTTCATATGTCATTAATGCTTAGAAACTTATGTGAAACAAGTTGAATGTTAAAGTTTTGAGTTATATTGTGTATTTACCTTGTAGTACATAAAGTACAGTACATGAACGTATGTACTGAGCACTCCGGTAATGTATGTACATGTATGTATGTATAGACAGTGTTTACACACATACAAATGTACATGTACAGTATGTGGGGAAAAGTACGTGATGGGAGAGGACATCAAGTGACAGATTAGGATGTTTGTATACAAACATGAGGACCAAGTACATGTAGGTAGAACGTGAATGAAATGCTGGATAAGGTTGACGAAATGGTT